CAGGGAGAACATGCAAACTCCACACAGAAATGTCAGCTGACCCAGCTGAGGATCGAACCAGCAACCTTCTTGCTGTGAGGCAACAGGGCTACCCACTGCGCCATTCTATAAATAAAATTATATACTGCAATTAAAATTTACTGCCACAAACTGTTAATTTGGATATAAAAAACACTCAAAAATATATCTTTATTAGCCTGAGAAAACTTTTTATATTGTTAAATGTTCTGATTTTTTTAATAGTACCATTGTTTGTTAACACTTTACAAGGCTCCGTTTGTTAAAATTAGTTAATTAAACCAAAGTGACAATGAAACTACTAAAGTGACAATTAAAATACTATTAAAACTAAACAAATTATTAATCTTAAGCAATTTTTAAGAAAATAAGACACAAATATCTGAATGTTTAATACCTGATTAAAATGAAGTCCAAACTTTTATTTCATTGAGCTAATAAAAGTTCATTTGTACCTTTTTTAAAGCTTTTTATTTAAACAATCTTTCACAAAGTAGCTTTTTTCTAATGATAAGATGCATCCTTATTGTAAAGTGTTACCTTAAATGAATGCCTCAGTTTAGTGCGGAATGATCAAGTAAATCATTCAGTTTGCTTGTAGGCTATTTTAAAAATGGATCTTTTATAAGAACTATTATTAATAACTCACAATAAGGTTCATTAGTTAATGCATTTACTAACATGAACTAATCATGAACAACACATGTACAGCATTTATTAATAAGTGAACATTTACTAATGCATTATTGACATCCAAGTCCATGCTTGTTAACATTAGTTAATGCATCATGAGTTAACATGAACTGACAATGAACTACTGTATTTTCATTAACTAACGTTAACTAACATGAACAAATGCAGTAGTACATGTATTGTTCATTGTTTGTTCCCATCAGTAAATGCATTATTTAACATTAACTAATGAACCTTATTGTAAAGTGTGACCAATAACTTTAATTTTCCTAAACAAAAAAAAGTTTGTTGGCTGTATATGCTACAGTATATGCCTTAGGCTGAACATGCTCTGCACGTGTTGTTAGACTACGGAGCCGTGATGACATGCAGACAAATTTACAAGCACGTGTTTAGAATAGTTCTCTTTATGCTTCCCTACAAATTATGACTTTAATAAAAAAAAATTTTTAGAATCTATTCAATTTAAATTTCGTACCTGTATGTGTTCTGTTGTTCATGCAGGCTGAAATGCCATTAATTAATTTGTAAGTTAATTATTTATTTCATAGCTTTAATAGGACTATTCCAGGAACAAATTATTCCATTTCATCATTAATTATTAAAGTATAACTTTAATTAAAACAAGGCTATGCATTAATAAGACGTAGTCATGGAAGCGAATTTATGTTCAGAGCTCCGTAGTTTAAAATAGGCTAACAGTAAGTTAAAATAAAGCAAGGGTCACCAATCTCGGTTCTGGAGGGCCGGTGTCCCTGCAGAGTTTAGCTCCAACTTGGATCAACACACCTGACTGGATGTTTCAAGTATACCTAGTAAGACCTTGATTAGGCTTAAGCTTGTTCAGGTGTGTTTGATTAGGGTTGGAGCTATAATCTTTAGGGCACCGGCCCTCCTGGAACAAGTTTGGTGACCACTGAACTATAGTATAAGAGAACACACAGCTGCCTAAATAGGCTATAAAATACACAGTTGATCACTTAGGCCAATTAAAATATTATTTAAAAATGTACTGAAAAAAAGCACAGGAAAGAATAGCGCTTTGAAAGAGGAACTTATTTTATCAAAGTGCTATGATGATCATGGAGCAGAATGTTTAGCGAAGCGACTGCTCTGGCTGCTACAGTATATGAGTTCAGTATGTTCACTATGTTATGATAACTGCCCCCTGCTGGCCATGTATTTCTTGTGTTAGACCAGGGGTGTCAAACTCAATTCCTGAAGGGCCGAAGCCCTGCACAATTTAGATCCAACCCTGCTCCAACACACTTACCTGTAGGTTTTAAAAGAGCCTGAAGGACTCAATTAGTTTGATCAGGTGTGTTTAATTAGGGTTGGAACTAAACTGTGCAGAGCTGCGGCCCTTTTGGAACTGAGTTTGACACCTGTTTGTTAGACCATGTTGTGCTGTGCCGCACTTTACTGCAGTAATGTACGAGATCACTTTAATTCACTCGTGCATTCTCAGTAGCCACATCTGTTGTGTACTTTATAATCATTTTACAATTCAATTAGTTTGAATTAGTTTGGAACATTTATAAAAAATAAAGCAAAATACATAAATAAAATGCATTTTTTTTATTATAACTGTTAAAGTAACATTTTTGCAGGTCAATAGTGTGATGTTAAAATATTCATTGATTATCACCACAAGGTCGCCTGTATTGTGTGTGCGTGTGTGTTGTTCAGTCTGACTGGTCGGGGATCAGCGGCAGTGGTGGAGTCTGTTCAGAGACACAGTGACCGCGGCTCTAATGATGAGTGCGGAGGAAGCACAGATTATTCACTATGTGGCATCGACCAGAAACACGTCCGACATCTGCTCTCTGAAATCATCCAGAACAACAAGGAGCGCTGGAAAGAGCTGTCTGTTCAAGGTCTGACACAAATCTCACTCTCTCTACATACAGCCAGTCAAAAAACGGGACATTCACGTTATTTAAAATAGGGAAAACATACAAATGGGAATTATGTAAAATAAATTACTTATTACACTGAAAAATGATGGTTGTTGTTTGTTTAAACTAATAATTTAAAATGAGCTGAAAAAACACACACAATTCTTGTTTTTATTTTTATTTTTTGGAAGGTACATCTTTATTGTTTTATGTACAATCTAATAAGTTAACTTGTCAATTAAGTTAACAAATCAATTGTGTGGAACCCAGCATTCTTTACAGTGTAGAAGCACATTTCTACAACTTTAAACGTATCCATTAGAGATGAATATTTTTTGTCATACCAAAGCAGTTTTTTTTAAAATATAAAAATCTTTTCTAGAATGTAGCAATCTTAGAAAAAAAACATGTTTGAAATCCCACACTCGCAGAAATAAGGTACTCGAGCTGTCACTGGGGTGGTACCTTTTCAAAAGGTACAAATTTGTACCTAGAAGGTTCATATTAATACCTCAAGGACACATATTAAAACCTAAAAAGTACAAACATGTTCCTGTTAATTTTTTAAGATACTAACATATACTTTTGAGGTACCAATATGGACCCTTTAAATACAAATTTGTACCTTTTGAAAAGGTACCACCACAGTGACAGCTTGTGTACCTTTATTTCTGAGAGTGTATAGCATTTATTGAAAACTTGAAAGCAATTCAAATAAACGAGTTTTTACTGGGACAAAAGTAAGATTTTTTTTTTTATAAAAACCTAATTCTAAAAGATAATGTTTTTAGAAATATATATATTTTGCTGTGGTTACTAACTCAAAATCAAAATCAGGTGATATTTTATATCAATGTAGAGCAAAATATAACTTCACTATAAACAAAAATTGCACATTGTTACTTTTAACCCCATCAGCAGGGTCAAAAGTAACACACCGGTGGGTCTAAAGTAACACAACAACATTTGCTAGATTCACATAGCTTAATGTTGTTTATTTCAAATATATCAGAATATGACCTTCTTTAATGTTAACTGCAAAACATTTTTTCTTTATTGTTTTTGCAAAACATATTAAACTGCATTTTCATTTTAAATTTCACTTCTATCAAATGTTTCAAAGTGAATCCAAAAAATGTCTAATCTTCTTTTATTATTATTGGCAATATGCATTCATTTTATACAACATAAGTCAAAACACTGAAAACTAATGTGGAATTGAAAATAAGGCATGGCTATTAGCAGTAGGACATAAATAACAGTTACTTTCATCCCCACAGGAACTCTTGCCATTTAAACCTGATTTACTTTTAAACTGAAAAACTCAGAGATTTCAAACTCGAGGATATGTTAATGTACTAAATAACCTGTAGATTGATCATTAGTGTGACACATGAAAAGAGAAACACAGCTTCCTCTACAGACAACCTCTACAATATTTTACCTTTTTGAATTAAAACAGAAATTTGGAGGGAACCGCAGGACACGGTGCTAAAACCAGCGAATATTTGGCAGCTCCATCAAGAGTTTCAAATTATTAAAGAACTAATTGCATTGATAAATAAATCAATTAATTAAACATTAAAGAAATAATGAGGCACAAGCATTTTAAAATGTAGAGACCTAGATGTTGTGAGGTTAAAGATGTAAAAAACATTTGAACTTTTTTTAAAATATTAATTAGAATTTCAATGATTTTGGTTTCCTAAAAATGTATCAATGAGACTTGTTAGTGTTTAATTATTTTCTTTAATTACAAACTTTAAAAAAAACAGGTTACATTTTTTTTCATGAAAATGAATGTAATGACTAAAGGTTGAGAAAAATAATGCTAATAATGAATATAATCTTATTTTCTTGACACTTGTTGTATGCATTTCATTCAAAATTTATTTCAAATCAATCATTAAATAAAAAAAAAATAATATAAAATTTTAAATTAGTAATTATTAAATTGGTAATATATATATAAACATTATTTAACTCAATGAACTATAAAACCTATAGTTTTATATTATATTATATTATATTATATTATATTATATTATATTATATTATATTAAATTATTGTAATAACATTTATAGTATAATAACATTCAACCTCAAAAATTCTACCTCAAAAATATTTAACCCCAAAAAATTTAATTTAGATCATTTGTTAAGCATCAATTAATTTGTCAAAATGTATTAATATTATGTAGTAATAAAAATACTTATCAATTAACATTATCCCAGCTCAGCTTCTCTTGAATGTCTTTAAATTATAACACACATAACCTCCTATTGAATTAACCTCATCATACAGTTGAAGTCAAAATTATTAGCTCTCCTGTGATTTATTTATTTGTATTTAAATATTTTCAAAATGATGTTTAACAGAGCAAGAAATATTTCACAGTATTGCTGAAAAGCTTGTCCATGCTTTTATCTCGTCTCGTTTAGATTTTTGTAACTCTGTATTTGGGGGTCTGCTGGCCAATTCACTTAAGATCTTACCATATGTTCAAAACTCAGCCGCACATGTGTTAACCCACACATCATCTCGCTCTCACATTACCCCTGTACTTCAGCAGTTACACTGGTTGCCTGTTGAGTCACGCATCGATTTTAAAACCTTGATTTTTAACTTATAAAGCTGTTCATGGTTCTGCACCTGATTATATATGTGACCTGATATCTACCTCCTCTTCTTTTTGCAATCTACGTTCTACTTCGGGGCTCACCTTGTATCAGCCCCGTTGCAAACTTAGCACCATTGGAGGCAGAGCATTCTCTTATCGAGATCTTTCTCTTATTTGTTTCAGCTAGAATAAAAGCAGTTTTACATTGTTAAAAACTCTTTTAAGGTCAAAATTATTAACCCCTTAAGCTATATTTGTTTTTCAATTGTCTACAGAACAAACCACCGTTATACAATGACTTACGCTAACTAGCCTAGTTAACCTAAAGTTTAGTTATTACACGTTAAACTGAATACTAGCATCTTGGAAAATAGCTAGTAAAATATTATTTACTGTCATCATGGCAAAGACAAAATAAATCAGTTATTAGAATTGAGTTGTTAAAACTATTATATTTAGAAGTGTGTTGAAAAAAAATCTCTCCGTTAAACAGAAATTGGGCAGAAGAATATAGAGGGGGCTAATAATTCAGGAGGGTTAATAATTCTGACTTCAGCTATATAGGATAAGATGTCTGATATCTAATGCCATTTTCTGTCTCATTTCAGAACTGGCCAACAAGCAGCACGAGAGAATGTCAGACCTTCAGGAGGAGCCCATGAGGAGCACGCAGCTCACCCTATCCCAAGAGAATCACGACTCTGAGTCCAAATCCCTCAATGAACTCAACAATACAGACTCCACACACTCGTCCCAGGACTCTCTGGACCAGAGCTCTCAGTCCCCGACGGAGGGAGCCGGAGATGCTTCCCCGGAGGAGCACAGCTCAGAAACGCTGCCCTGGAACGGCAAGAGCGCCTGAATCTTTGCAGTCACAAATGGGACGATGTACATAGCATTGTCCTCATTGTATTGTACCGCTATTATACTCTCGGGCTGGAGGCGGACGTGAGGATTGTCCACGGAGAGATGATGATGATGATGTGCAGTGTTGTAATGGCCGCCGTGTTATTGCTGGAGACTTTCAGGAGGATTCGAGTCTCTGAAAAAGCAACGCAACGCTGCCTATAGTGCCCTCCGCTAACATCGACTCCCTTGGTGAATATGAGAAGAGAAGGCTGTGGAAAAACATAATATTTAAATGTTTTTTTTAGATGTTAGTATCAGTATCTTAAAGATATCTATAAGCTTGTGTGGTACAAAAAATATATATATTTTAGGAGATATAAACGTCTAAAGCTTGCACACTCAAAATATGGTTAATTGGATATACTAAATGTTTCTTAAGGTAAGTCGTTGCAAACAATTTATGTGGGCTGAATTTTAATAAACTAATTAAATTTAGCAATGTTTAACTTGATTTGTTTGTTTAAATTCAGCCCATATAAGGTTTACAACCACTTACCCTAAAAAAAAGGGTAAATCCAGTGAACCATTTTTCTCAGTGCAAAGTGTATTACTTACGTTACCTCGTACATAAGTTTCTCGTCAAATCTTCTGACCAATCAAATGCTCTCAAACATCTGACATGCCCCGCCCCCTTCAATACTTCTCATTTGCTGCGCTTGAGCTCAACCACTCTCATTGGCAGAGCTGGGATAAGAACAAAAAGCTATTGGCTTTTTTTTTAAAGGGGGAGGAGCTCTCTGTCCCACCCTCTCTTCGTGTTTCAGTTCAGATTACGTCAAACATCAAATCAAAAAATGCACATTACTAAACAACCTCATGGGAGTTCACTTTTGATCAATTAAAAGAAAAAAAAAACACTTTTGTTGTTGCTAGAGTAACTGTGATTTAAACTGTAAAGGCTCCTCCCTTTTCTCAAAAGGGGTGGGAAGAAGCAGTCAATTTGCATTTAAAGAAACACACACATACACACACACAACAGCATCTTTTCAACCTGAAATGGGCATTTTAAGGACAAAATTATTAGCCCCTTTACGCTATTTTTTGATCTACAGTCTACAGAACAAACCATCGTTATACAATAACTTGCCTAATTACCCTTTCCTGCCTAGTTAACCTAATTAACCAAGTTAAACTTTTAAAAATCCCTTTAAACTGTATAGAAGAGTCTTGAAAAATATCTAGACAAATATTATTTACTGTCATCATGGCAAAGATAAAACAAATCATTTATTAGAGATGAGTTATTAAAACTATTATGTTTAGAAATGTGCTCTCCATTGAAGAGAAATTGAGGGGAAAAAAACAGGGATGCTAATAATTCTGTGGGTTAATAAATCTGACTTCAAGATCGGAAGAGCGTC